CTGGAGAAAATATCTTCAAACGAACAATTGACTTGTGCGCATCATATAAGTGATACGTGGATAACGTTTTGTGATTTTTCGACGATATTGTGAATCTGGCGATACTCTTAAAAGTATTATACTCAGCACATCCAAACATAAAGTTCAATTTAGAGAACGAAGAGAGTGAGCAGATTGCGTTTCTGAACGTTCTGCTAAGTCGTCGACCAGACGAAACTATCCAGAGCACCATCCATAAGAATCAATCGTGGGATAGTCAGTGTATCTATTTCAAAAGCTGTGTCATTGGAGAAGAAAAGAGACCTGATTCAGTACCTAGCTACCAGAGCTCCAAGAATAGGTACTGATGATACTATTGGGAGTAAACTAAGGTTCATCCGAGAGGTTTTCCTTCACAATTGATATCCAGAACGATTTGTGGAAATCATTTTGAGGCGCCAACGGTTGCCAAATAAAACCGCTACCGTTGAGAAGAAACCGGTTCACACATCACTACCTGTTAAGGATGACAAAACTGCCGAGATGGTGACACGTAAACTCAGTACAGCTTTGAAAAAAGCATTCCATGCAGCAAACTTTCGCATTGCATTCATCTCCAGGCCACTTTGGCCCTTTCAACTCAAAGATAAATTACCTATTTCTGCCGTCTCTTTCTGTGAGCCAATTTATATTGGCCGCGCGAGCAGATGTTTATCTAAACGATTCCGCGAGTAACACCAGGCCTGGCTGAATAATAGCGTAATTAGGACTATCAACAATTCAATCACTAAACACCTAGTGCAGTCAAACCACGTGGTTGATGTGGCCGAGGCGTTTCGACCCATCTGATTAGTTCGCAGGCGTTGATCTAAGAGGAGATTGTCTTCGAAATTCACCATCAGTCATGTAATTCCGGGATCGGGCACTCAAACACATCACAAGGAAATACACTGGTGCTGACCAAAATTACCAATTATTGTTTGTATAGATCTCGTCTTTCGATATAGTCAATCAGTCAAATGAACTTGATGGTAACGAAGGGATAATACACAGTTACCTATCGGTTAACTCCATTTGAAAGCCTCCCACCAAATCAACAACCGTGAACCCAAAGTCCCCAGTACTTCCATGGGTGTAATGTGAGCGACGAAACGGGGACTGTGATGTAAGATTACTTCCAAATAACGAGCAGTCCAAAACAATATCACCAACTACTAGCACTCACAAGTAATTGTAAATTAAATGTGTCAATGAATTTAAATCATCGTGAATAGAGTAAGATACATTCATATAACACACACCACACCAATTGTTTTCCCCACCTGGACGAGTGTGAATTCAACTTTTCATTTACTCTGAAAGCGGAAATTCCAGTTCTGAAGTATTTTATGTCTCGCAGTGAGCTTAGTAATCAGATTGCAAATGTCTTGTCATCGGCGACGGTAACACCCCCAGCGCGCTTGTTTGATAATATCACTTTGGCTAAAAGCTGAACACTACCCCAATTATCCAATCCGATCGTCAAAACCAAGCGGCGCTGTTTACAAACTCAGTGATTTGGTTTGGTGGCCAGCTTTTCAAAATCCCATAGGAACATTTAGAAAATAACCTACGTTTGCCTATGCTATTTATCATGGAATAATTACCAAACACCTGAATTTTAGGAGAATAATGTTCATATGTGTCAAAATAAGTAAAAAAAAACCGTCGCAAAAATCTCACTGATCCTCCAAGAGCTAAGCTTGGTAAACGAGCGCGCACTCGGAGCCCCGAACTCAGCTACTGTTGGTCCTAATTAAATTCTGAAGCATTACATGCGATTCTAAATCAACAACTATACTTCCCAGTTCAGCGATGTGGTCCGAGTGACCAGAGAGCTTCAAACCCTATTATGACCGAAGGTTCGAATCTCGCTGTCATCACTAGCTTTACTGTCGTCTGTTTTCACCACATCATGACCAAATGATGATAGCAGTGTATCGAAAAATCGATGCGCCATGTGTTGTTTTATCGTGAATGTTAATGTTATAGTGTTACTAACACAGCGATGTCGGTAGAGAAAGGTTGCCCACGGTAACCGAAACGTCGACGAATATAATTCTCTACCGACATTACTGTCGTCTAGTTAAATACCATGCCCAAACCACCGGGGCCTTATGTGCTTCGCCACTCCCAGTCCCAGGACTTAGGTTATAGGTTTCTATCACTAAAGGATAGGTCTCCACGACTATGGAGTTCATCCCGTCTGCTTTTCATGACACAAAAGGATATACAATAAAAAATAATCTGGAATGAGTTACTCAAAAGAAGTCCTATCTGTCTGATCTGAGAGAAAAGCGAATGTGTCATTTGAAGAATAACACGCAAATAAGTGCACAATAATAAGTCAATCCTTCTGGGACAGAAATTACCGTTTTCAAAGTTTTATCATTATCCACATCAATCAGAGTCTCACGAGGAATAAAACAAAGATTGATCCGCATATTGTATCACAATATCAACACCATCGACCATAGTCCCGTGTCATCNTTCACACCTATATCGCACAAACGACTCACATCAGACGGGGTTGGTGTGAGTGGGCAAGAAATTGGGGAAATCTTCCAAGAAATTGTTTCAGTAGGAATGTACCAACCCGGTTTCCGAACACATCACATGTAGAATGTTGTCAAAACTTATTTATGGCTGTTCTTTACTGTTCAGCAGGAGTTCGGTGGATTCGATCGGGTAGAATCAATATGCCAATAATCTGGTTCTCCACCAATGGATTGATTGTGTATAGTATCTTGGAACAGTATCTGAATCACATTGAAACGATGCTCTGAGATTGTACAAGTTCTTTATCCTCTCAGTTTCCTTTCCACAAAAAATAAACGTTATTGCCACCATGAACCCTATTCGTCGATCAGGAAACGCTGTATTTCGTCTGAACGTATACGTTGACGTAGCCAGATAAAACCGCATAACATGGCCAAGTGCAAAATCGCGTCGATCACAAACACTGTCCCGGGGAACACAGTCAAAGTCCAATTGTACACACTGGTAAACAGTGTCCCACCGCCCAGATTGGCCAATGTTTCCATACAGGAGACCAGTGCAAAACTCGCCCCGACATCTTTGCCCCTGACCAGCTTGCTAATCAGTGCTCTCGTACCGGAACTGATGAACCCTGCCACAGAACCGGCCACAGCGGAGATGAATAGTAGAAGTGTACTCCCGGTCAAACCCATGCATAAGAGACGGGCAATTTTGAAGCACAATCCGATCACAATCAGGGTACTATCATGTGGAGCTAATTTGGATTCGATCAGGGGTAGGAAAAGCGTAAGCAGGAGTGCCATACATCCGTAATAAACGGTTAGATAGTAACCGTACCATTCAGCTGTCCAGTGAAATGGTCGATTGGTCACAAACAGGAGTATGGCATCCTGTTCACCGGATTTGGTCAACTGATTGAACAGCACAGAGGCGAACAGAAATAACAAAACCGGACGTAACTGGTGCATATCCGGAGTAAATAAAAACTCGTACGATTTTCTAATGGTTCGCCAAGCATGAGAAATGAAGCCACCGCAGCCCGCCTTTCTCGGTTCGTCTTCCTCCACGACCATTTGCATGTGACTAGATCTTGTCTCTAAGATCGGTTGCTCCAACGGTTTTTGGAGGGATTCTCGTACCAACAACAATAAGACAATGATAAGGAACAAGTCACACGCACTGACAAACATCAAAATTTCCGCAATTCCACGATATCGTGAGAATATGGCCAACAGTCCGGCCCCGATACACAGGCCGAAAAAATTCACACCCATCAATCGACCCAACAGTTTGGTTCTTTCCTCTGTACTACTCAAATCTGTGATGTAACTGTTTGCACCCATACTCATCGCGTTACTTTTCCCGCACAAACCGTAACACAAAGCCCCGATCAGAATGAAACTGATAGCCCCTGGGATCCGTGAAATTTGAGGATACAGAGCTGCCCCGAACCAGGCACATGCAATCACCGATCCGATACACGGTATGATCATGGCCCATTTTCGACCGATCCGATTGGACACGGATCCGTACAGTAAACAAGTGATCATTGCAGGTAAATTGAATAATATTCGATAAACGATTAAATAATTCCCGGACATGCGTTGAACCAGCGCTTCTTTATCCTCATTGAATTGACCCAGATCATCGACGGTTGTGTTCACACGAAAACGAACAAAATGAGCCCATTCAAATGGAATTATGGTCAGATTTGATTCGGATGATCTGTGCTCTTTCAGATCGCACAAATGCCCGTCGATGGTCCGGTTGACTACAGCCTGGCAGACGGTCGAGTACAGATGTAACCGATTGGCCGATTGCAACAACGATTCGATTGTTTTATAGATGAAAAAACAAAAAATAACCAAACTGGGAGATTGTTTGGAAAATTTCCAAACGAGGAGACTCATGCTGACTGCATTCAGTTGACTAGGAATCCGAATGGATTCCTGAAGACGGAGTTGAAATCAGACCAAATACATCCGAGGACCGACCACTCGACCAACTTGAGATAATCTTTGTGTGTATGTTAAACCGATAAACCCCAGTAACCAATCGCAGGGTGCGGACGAGTGTCATCTGATTGGTCGAAATGGATTCGTATGCGCACTCGTGCTCATGTGTAAATCTCAGACACGTTCGAGTAAATGAATTATGTGGGGACTGACCATTGCCATCAGTAAAATTTCCGCACGCCTAAAGTTTATGTTCTTGGACATTTAGGATCGTAGGTAGGATCAAAGGCTTTTTCGTTTCCATGCTGAGGTTTATCTTGTGTTGTTTTGCTTCCGCTTGATAAATAAATAATCCCTAGGTCAAGTTTTCGGAAAAAGGGTGTTGAAAAACGAAGAACAATTGTGGGACACAAAAAAGAATAAATGACTAAGGTTAGGGGTGATCAAATTTGAACTCAGAACTTCTGAGCCAATCGAATGGTGGCTAGCATCGTTTGACCGTCACCGCCCGGAGTCGGGTTTACGTAGAAGACTTTGCAGACCTATTTTACTGTGTTGATTCAACAGGCGTATTTCAAGGACGAAACAAATCACGATGCATCTTCGAGTATTCACTAATACTAAACAGTGATAGGTGATTAATACCTTGGTCGACAAGCAGTTCATTTACGATCAGAAGGAAGATAAATGCAAAATACTGGATGATAAATGTCACAAAACCATAAACTTTTAATCCAATTACACTGACCTGAGTGAATCTTCAGTGAAAACGGGATAAAATGGTTTTAATGTCAATATTCCCGACATGAAAATGAAAATTTGAATGGGAACTGACCTCTACAGGAAATGGAAAAAATGGAGAAAGTTTAACATTCGTTTAACGCGGAGAATAAAATGTCAATTGTGAAATTATGCTCAACATTGAACACCTCGACCACCGTATTTAGAGGTCTGATTGCCATTTTTGACAAATATAAGATTATCACTTTTCTATTTTGAAAACGATCGATGATCGAACTCTAGGGCTTTTTCGAGTAAGACGGGGAATGTTTGGATTAGCCCATTCGGTTCTTCACAGACACTTTTGACGACGACATTGAACCATTCGCATCAGGTAATGATCGTTGACCGTGGGGGTACGGGTTTGAAGTCCCAACCTGGAAGCTCGCGGTTCGAGTCCTGACAGGGACACAAAAAGTACGCGCTGCTGACGAGTCCGAAACAGGACAAAACAGTTTTGCAGTGCTCTTTACCAGTCAACACACATCTACATCACTTTTTCGACTCATTCACAAACACGCTAACGTTTTATCTCAATATAACCATCTCAATACTGGAGAATCTGCACCTTTTTACATCACCCTCTCCCTTGTTTCGCTAGCTGATCATGTTAATGAAAACTCTATAGTTCTGCAATCGGGGTTCATCAATTTGTGAATATGTATCATTGCGCGAAGGTAATCAAGCATTTCAAGATCACTGACCTCGAGCATTCGGATTGAGAAATAAAATTATTTTGTCTGAGTTGCACAGTTCACAGCTCCGTGTCTGTCCGTATGTATGTGTACATTTAAAAAGAAAATAGCCCATGCGGATACACAGACTCCAAGATTTTGTATAATCAAATCAAAACACTGGCACTCCAGAAGAGTTAATTGCTGACAGGAAGAATTAAGTGTCCAGTAATCCATAACAGCCCTCATTGAAAAAAGTTGATCACAAATGGAGTGACCTTTGAACAGTGGGTCATGTAATACTCATTCCGTTTTTGTTCGGCTCCAGTTTTCTTCTGTGCACCAGTATTACCTTTTTGGGGGATCTTCGATGTCTTCCATGATAGTCTTTTCCTGCGATAAGTCTGCACTCTTCCAGCGTATACTTGAATTTTAAGAATCATTAGGTGCCTCGACGGGATTCCAACCGACGTACGGATGCTAAATACACTGTGGTACCATGTACACCCTGCCCGTTGAGTTACGAGACCACACCAACCGATGTGATCTTTCGTTATTTATTTTGGCCACGGAACTTGCGCAGATGTCAGCTCATGTAAGCTGTTTGCTCTAGAAAGCTTTTCTTAGAATTTACTGCAATGCATGGAACGAAATGTGAGACTGGATTATTAGTTCTAACTATGCTGTTTTGACAGACACTAGTGTCATATTTTATTGTTGAATGCGAAAAGACCAGTGTTGTAGATGAGCCTTCTTAGCGCAACCGGCATAACGTGCGCTGCACCAAAACGAAGCGGCATCGTTTGGTGCGCTAGAATCCGGCCGAAATAAGTGAGCTTTTCATAATTCAAACGTAAGACCATCATTGTCTGTTATCTGCCAAAACAATATCATGTATTTCCCACTAATTATCATTTCAGTCACTTTGTTCTCACTCTAAAAACGATACATGAAAAGCTTTTGAGTATAGCATTAAGAGAAAATCCGCATTCATACCTAATCTGGACTTGGAGTCCCTCAGATCAACGGTATAACCCTTGAATGTTTTTTTATTCATGATCTCTTGGTCATGGCTCTTCACGTTTCCGTATTTGCTTTTTTGAATAATATTGTCGCTAGAGAAGCAAATAACGGTTTAAGTGTTATTTTAGTTGCATTTTTTCAAGGGGCTTGGAATACACATCGGCCTCGATACATTCAGTGCACATACACAATCAACGTCATCAGTTAGATCTAAGAGAATCCCATGGTTTTGTATTGTTTGACCATAGCATTCACTGTCTAATGTAACTCCAACGATTTGTATATTTTATCTAGATGCAGCTCGGCTTAAATCTGCTCCTGATACATTCTTCCTATGACCATCGTTCCACACAGGCTTTTGCACAAATCACTAGCCGACAATCGAAGAAGAATCGCTACACCAGAACTATGTTACATTGTCTAAATGTTACCCAGAGAATGACCAATTTTTTACAAAATCACGTACAGCTCATTTTACTGCCCTGATGAGCAATAGTGGGTGGATTTGTTCTCACCAAATCGCAATCTAGCGTCGACTATTTTTCACGACCACGGAACAAGAGCTCATGATAATGTTCTCTTAGTTCCTCAAACATGTTCAGATTGGATTTCGGGGAGACAATGTTCTTTTCGTTGGGTTTGTCGTGGACTAATTCCGCATGTTTATATTTTTTCTTATTCCCCGTTATGTTATCCACACTGCCTAC